CATGAGCCTATGCAGGTTGTTTTCACCAGTGACATTTAAGTTGTAGGCGATATTATATTTGTTATTTTCTTTTATATTTCACGTCGGGAGAATAATTTCCAAGACACGAATGCGTTTTTACCTGTGCACTGCTGCCTCTGTTCTATTGGCTCTTCAACCTCGTCCATTGTGCGACTGACGCCGCCAACATTAACATGACGTTCACATCGCTGTTACTGCGCGCGTTTTGTGTGGGGTTCCGGCAATGAGTGGAATTACCGAAATAAAAAAAATTATAAATGTGTTTTTTTGTGTGTGTGTTGTTGTCCCAACAACACATAAAAACAGATTTTATAATAAAGCAACTCGCATACAGAAACAGTAAAGTTAGAGATTAAAAATGAGATTAACGCGATTAAACATAACGCTCTAAATATGACTGTAATTAATTAATCGCAATTAACGCGATAATGTGACACCCCTAATATATATATATCAGCTATATACAAGAGGTTGTAAGGAGAAACAGTGCAAAGATGAAATAATGATTGACATGACATAGGGTTATCTATTACAGGAGGATGACAACTGAACAGTTGCATGGAGTATGGTATGAATGTAGTCCTGTATAGCTCAGTGTTTGAGCGGAGCCGTAGGAGTCTGTTGGAGAACGAGCTCCTCTGTCCCTCTAGTCTGGTGCAGTGTGTGAGCACCAGCACCACATAAACACTAAGAAAAAAGTTGTGGTTAAAGCCATCCTTAAAAATTAAAAAACACACCTTCAGCAATAGCTCCGAGAACAAGAATGCCAGACTCTTTGATGACCCAGTCAGGATGGAAAAGCAGGCCTTTCAGGAGGGGTAAGAGATGGGGCAACAACTCCTCACGAAACACATTAGCAAGAACATCCAGAGCAGCAGCTGAACACTTCCCTGTTGAAGACAAAAGCAAAACACAACACATTTCTTTACCCACAAAGCATCTGTTAAAACGTTTTCTTTAGGCAGTTGGCTTGCTGTAAAGTTAATGCCAATGGATAGAGGATTTCTTTTTTCTGACTAAAAAGCTAACCTAATTTGAATATGGATAAGGCTATACTCTAAGTTTACAATTTTGGGGTAAGAAAGAATATGCAAATTATAATATTTAAAAATAAAGGGTGAGAGAGCATTGTACAATTTAGAGAGGCCTCCAGCTAGTACGTTCGTGCCTAATCAATGCATACTACTAACCGCTACAAGCAAGCGCATAAGATAGTTATCCCACTATAAAGAATTCCTTCATCTTAACCCAAACATAACAAAACACACAGGCACTGCTGTAAAGTTTGTGTGTGGTGCAACTTACGAAGATTCCAGTCAGACAACGTATCATCATCATCATCTTCATCATCATCAAAGTCTTCCCCCTCTTCTCCCTCACCACCTTCATGCTGCAGAGTAACAGTCCTAGACTTATGAAAGCGTGGCTTGATGTCCTGTTCACTATCTGGGACAGTTTCATCCTCTTCAACATCTCCCTGTGTGGCAAAATTTTAAAAAGATAAAGAAATCTGTAGCAAAGTTTTTAATAGGATTAAATCATCAATAAACAATGTGTACCTTCAGAAGAATTATGTCAATTTCAGAATACTTCATGCCATTCACTAAAATAGGAATAAGCCTGAAAGTAAAAAAAAAAAAAAAAGATAATTAAATTTCCATAAGTTGAATATGTGTTAAGATGTAAATAAGTAATAACTTACTGAACCAAGTGCCCACTCAGGGCCTCTTTGCAGATGGGCTGTTCAGCCAGAGTCAACCAGAACTCACAAGCCTCCAAAGCTACATTCTCATCTGGGTCTTGAGTCCTCTGTAGCATGTACTATAAAGACAAAAACACCAACAGCTCAGAGGCAAATACAAAGCATATATACAGCATGTATATAGTCAAATATACTGTACCTGGATAATGCTGTGCATGTGGGGGATGAGTCGGTCAATGCGGACTTCCAACAGCATTACCAGCGCTCTGCACACATTCTTCCTCACTTCACAGTCCTCATCTCCAGCCAGCGCAAACAGGCTCTGCAAATTAGATAACAAAAATAAAAACAAATCTAATATTGCTTTAGAGAAAAAATAAATCCTTAACAAAAACTCACCTCAATAAATGTGTCAATATTATCCATAAGTGCTTGAGCTCGACCAATGATGAATTGGTTTACACATGCTATGGCATGGGACCTAAGGAGCACATGCATGAATTAGGAATGATAATATTAATAGGAAAATGCATTAAGCATTTAAAAAAAAAAACACAACATAGTTATTTATTAAATGGGTAACATATGCTTTTCGACATCATTTTGCCTTAACACTCATAAAATACTTTTGAAATCCTGTGGATCACTAACCTTATTTTGGGGCTGCAATGTTTAAAAAACTGGAGAAACTTGGGAATCATAATGTTGAGTGGTCGGTTCAGGGCATCACTATCCAAAAGCTCAGAGGAATCTTCACAGATCTTCTGTAGAGCTCCAAATGAACCCTTTAATATATTACAGGTTAGGCTATAACAATGGAACACAATGTTCAAATAAAGTTGAAAGAATACTTGAGTTGGCTGACCTCACAGGTGTTGTAGTCTTCTGAGTTTAGAAGATTACAGAGCTGGGGCAACAGTTCGGGCCAGGTCCGAAGCTCTCCTTTAGATGCTATGGTCGTTATCAGGATGCCTTTATAATCAAAAACAATTCATACTTAAAAATAACAATAAAAGAACAAACAAATAACAGCATCTATTACTATAGCCCCTACTCCCACACAGCATCTTAACCTGTTAATATTCAACCTCCTACATACAAATAGTGGACTGACTCACAGTGTGCAGACATGCTGCTTTTTAAGACTCACCAATAGTAGCTCTGATGAGCGGTGATGGGTCTCCAATGTTATTGAGGCATTCATGCTTGATGAAATCTGCCACGTTCGGGGGAAAGTTCTGGTAGTGAGCCTTTACATTATTCTTCAATATCAGACCACTGAGTGAACGGGTTGGCTCATCTTCAGAATAGAAAAAAGATCAGTTTTATCTATACATACATGCATGTACATATGTACATATTATATTCTTATAATGCCTTTTCCTTGTCATACAGTATACATACCTTCAGATTTCAGACTTGTAAGGACAAATATGAGATAATTATTAAAATCTGGAAACTGGTTGAGTTGTTCCAGTTTCTGTAGTTTCAGTTAAGGATACACTCACACTACACACACAAGTAATGACAACACACTCTTATATAACCTGTGAGGCAGCTGAATCTGGACAATTTCTTCTATCAAAAGCACACAGTGCATGAGTTACATGCTCAGACATCACACCTAATGTCACACTTAATAACACAATATATGAAACAACCTAGTGTAGGATACTTCTTGCACAGCTCTTTGTGTTGCTGTGTCCGGGGACTGTGAGTCCTTGAGTAGCTGGAGCACCTGCTGCAGTCCCTGTTCATCTGGCTGCCACTCCATCCTACTGGACACAAATAAACCAGCAGTCTATCTGTGATTACAGAGCTATAAAACATTATAGTGCATGAAATGCGTTTTCCTTCCTCAGCTTGTTGAAACAATGTGGTTTGTTTAAAAATGCGTTGTGTATGTATAACATGACGTCCTGTAATGCCATCCTCAAAGTAATGCTATTAGTAGAACCTACCTAGTAAATAATATGTATATTAACTCTTGTTCATTCAGGCGTCACTTGATAAAACACAAAACGTACACAATAATACAATGAAATTAGCACAACACCAAAATTACATCGCCGTTCAGCCAATGAAGTGTTGCCTGAACAATCACATAATATGTAATGTTTACAAACCCTGTTCCTCTACGAGGCCCAGATACAATAGCCGCAAACTGTTTGGCTCACACACCAGGCTAACAAACTAGCGCTGCTACATCGGTGTAAAATAGCATTTCAAGATCACATCTGGTGCATAGTTTGCTCGTATGGTAATTCTCTGGTAATACAGGTAATATGACAACATGGACAAAATACGCTATTATACACAGTAGAGGGAGGTAGTCCGATCAAGCCAAGCCAGCAGCTAAAGCTAGATAGCTAGCTTCAACTTGAAAGTACCGCGGAAGATTTTACCTGAATACTCTGATGTGGTAGATGAATAATCTGAGACACAGTGGCGCGTTTACGGTTTACAAAATAACATCAAACAATATATGGCAATGATCGGGCTAATTATAAACTTGTGTTGTCTGTTCCTCAATGTAGTCACTTTGCTAGCTAGTTTGTGACAGAGATTGCATGCCTTGTAATCAAGCCGGTGATTGGTGTGATCATTCTCGGCTTCCGTACAGACAGAATTTTGTTTATCATCATCGTCTTTGTTATAGTTTTCTCACCCGATTTGTGTTCTCGGAGTTTTGGATGTTGATTTTCAATTTATACAATAAAATGCAAATACATTATTTAAGCACAGCCAAAGTGCTATTGATTATTATTGGTTGGATAACTTCAATTTTTGGCCACCAGATGTCAGCATTAATTACCAGCTTGTTCTTGACAACTGTAAATAAAAGTATGGGCTATAATTGGGCGTGGGCAACACTGACACATACTTGTCTTTTATCAGGTTAAAGTCTAACATCAATCATATTGCACCTTTAGTCATTAATTTAGTTTAATTTTAACTTGGCTGCATTTTAAAATTATGCCAACAGGCTACATACAAGACAAAACAAAACAAACACACAAAAAAAACTGAACCTTTTTGTTATCACAGCAATAGAAAAGCATGGGGAAAAGTGAAAGTAGGTTAATATAATGTGTTACCAATAAATTTCTTTCAATAAATACAGAGAAAATACACAAACATATTTATTCACTCTTGTCTTTACAACTACAGTAACCACAAAACCACCTTTGCACTTCATTTATTATTGGTCAAAACTCACAATATGCTCATAAAAACAAGATTTCAAAAAGGAGATGAAATGACAACACTTTTGGACTCAACATAAAGAGCTTATTTCACTCTTGCTGCAGCCCCACTTGCAACATGCATTGGACAGTCCCACTACAACATCTCTCCCTTTTCTGTCCGCACTTCTCAGAGCCTCCAAAACCTCTTCCAACATTGGAGAGCGAGCGGAACGACTGAATCCTGTGGCAGCCACTGTGTCCTCAGATGTCTGGGTTTTCCATAAGTCTGGTTGTGCTGCATCTTGGCTCCTGGAGACTTGAGGCATAGGATTGGTGCTCCATGGATCAAAGTTCTCCTCTCCGGTTAGAGCTGATAACATTCAAAGATTACTTAATTTATGTTTTTGTTTTGGTTTTTTTTCCTTTAAACAATCTTGCAGTATTAAATTAACTCACCTGTATCTCCCACACTCCTCCTCCAGCGAGATCCTCCACATGTGAAGATGACAGCTCGAATGAATTCTCTGCCACATAACTTTACCCCATAGAAGGAGGGATGGCCTTCATTGCACCGCACCCTGTCAACGAGTGCCACCAAAAGACCCAAAGTCAAAAGTGCTGCCTTCCACATGGTCAGGGAAAATGTTGCAAACCACTTGATTACAGCAGTGAAGATGTCTGTTTGCTGTTCCTAGAAGCCCATCTTATATATGTATCCCAAACCTGGGGAAAAGACCTAATTTTACCTCCACACTTAGTCATACCAAGGATAACATCAGAGACCTTTAGGGGCAACAATGCTCATCGAGAAAGAGCAAAATGATTAAGTACTGCAGGGTGTCAGGGGTGATGTGAGCAGGGTCTATTACAATCTCATCACCATAACCTTTCATGGTGGCCTTTTTGTTTCATACATTGTCTGAGGTAAGCCATGGGTCAACATACTGATATTTATTGTTATCAGTCCTGACTGGGTAAGGATGGAGATCTAAATTCATTCACCAGATGATAGTGGCGCTGACGCTTTCCTCCTCAAATACACGCTTGTATAATACTAAAAACAAATAAGAATAACAAACAAATAATTTATTAAAAATAGGGGTGTCAAATTATCGCGTTAATTGCGATTAATTAATTACAGTCATATTTAGCGCGTTATGTTTTTTAATCACGTTAATCTAATTTTTAATCTCTAACTTTACTGTTTCTGTATGTGAGTTGCTTTATTATAAAATCTGTTTTTATGTGTTGCTGGGACAACAACACACACACACAAAAACACATTTATACATTTTTTTATTTCGGTAATTTCACTCATTGCCGGAAACCCACACAAAACGCGCGCAGTAAGAGCGATGTAAACGTTATGATAACGTTGGCGGCGTCAGTCACACAATGAACGAGGTCGAAGAGCCAATAGAACAGAGTCAGCAGTGCACAGGTAAAAACACATTCGTGTCTTGGAAATTATTCTCCCGACGTAAAATATAAAAGAAAATAACAAATATAATATCGCCTACAACTTAAATGTCACTGGTGAAAACAACCTGCATAGACTCATGATGTCTGCACTACTGTCCTATAGTGACCTGCCACATGAGGGGACACGCACACAAACACACACAAACACAAACACACACCTTCATCATCGTCATTAACCTGAGAACGCGCGGACCACGTTTCTTTCCGTAGTTACTGCGCGGACACCGACGTGCTCCCGTGAGCCGCGTGTGGACCGCGCTTCCTCCTGTGCGCCTCTAAACCAGAAGTAACACCAAGACTAAAACCAGGACTAATCCAGTCCAGGTCTAAACCAGGACTAAACCAGGACTAAACCAGAACTAAAACCAGAACTAAAACCAGAACTAAAACCAGAACTAAAACCAGAACTAAAACCAGGTCTAAACCAGGACTAAACCAGGACTAAACCAGGTCTAAACCAGGACTAAACCAGAACTAAACCAGAACTAAAACCAGAACTAAAACCAAGTCTAAACCAGGACTAAACCAGGACTAAACCAGAACTAAACCAGAACTAAAACCAGAACTAAAACCAGGACTAAACCAGGACTAAAACCAGGTCTAAACCAGGACTAAACCAGAACTAAAACCAGAACTAAAACCAGGTCTAAACCAGAACTAACACCAGGACTAAAACCAGGATTAATCCATTCCAGGACTAAACTAAGACTAAAGTAGGACTAAAGCAGGTCTAAACCAGGACTAAAACAAGGACTAAAACCAGTGATCTCATATATAAAGCATTTCTCTATCAATAATATTTTTTATATGGTTAAGGAAAGACTGGACTTTTTATTGTCTTTAAGTAGACAAAAGTTATTATGTTCAGATTTCCTAGTCTTTGCTACTTTACAGCAAACAGTTTCTTATTCATGGAGACTTGGGCTCAACAGCCAATTTGGAGAGAGATTTGTTTAAACAATAAATGACTTTATAAAGTCACTTTTTTTGTTCTATATGAGTCTTTTGATCTGCCACAATAATGTAATAATGAATTTAAATGAAAATACCTCAAATTGAAGCTTTTCTCAGCAATTTTTAGATGAGATTAAAAAGAGATTAATTAGATTAATTAATTACAGATCATAATTAATTAATCTCAATTTTTTTAATCGCATGACAGCACTAATTAAAAAGTTATGAATTTCTATAATGGAATTATATATTAATTATATATTATATATTAATAATTTGGAAAGGGAGATGAGATGAGTATTTATATATAGATATAGATATAGAAAGATATAGATAGGTGTTCTCATAATTATACAAAATTGTTGATAAAACAAAGTAAGTTTATTGTTTGACTGTTCAAAACAAAGATCAAACAGATACAATATACAATATAACTAAGAAACTAAGTGACATATTAAATAAATATTAAACTACCACCCAGAAAACAATGATTAAAAATGATAATTCAACGTTTTCTATTTAACTTGATTGACACACGAAGTTGACCAATGAGCGAGTTGTATATAACCTAACGTCACGACCTCTTCCGCAGATAACCAATCAGCGCCTGGCGTGAGGCGGGGCGATTACGGGAGGGTAGCAACAGTTGCCCCGGTGAAGGCTAGGCGCCATAGCCACGGTAGTCCTGGCGACAAGAACCAAGCAACGGGAGTCAACAACAACAACCTAAATCAAAGAGGTAAAAACTTTAACGACTATAAAGAACATTCTTGGACTGTGCACGGAATGAAAAAGTGAAATCTGTAATTATAGCTCGCTTTTTTTTCTTGATAAACGTTCTTCGTCAAAGTCACGCGTTAACGGGAAACTCGTCTGGCACGTCGATGTGGATGGAAGTGGTTGCTAGCTTTTTTCCGAACGCAGACCGTTGTTATGGCGATGTCAGATTTTTGATAAGAGAACAAGATGGCGGGTGTGCTGTGATGTCAGTCCTACTTTTGATCAGTAGTTTAAACGTTTTGATTATTTAATATCTTGTTGCGAGTATAATCTCTGTATTTTGTGTGACTTTCTTTAGTTTACATTAATGTGCGTTTGCATGTGTCGAAATGACACGTAGTAACTTGTGGCGAGTTACCATGAGTTGCTAGGTGGAGGAAGCTGCTACCCTTGCTCTCTCAACTCTTCCAATTTAACAAGCTCTTTCAGTAACAAGCCCTAAGAACACGCAATATGTGGTTCAGTGAAAGTGTTTACTAATGTGTGCCGTGTGCTTTGACTATGAAACGTATTTTTGCACATTTGTGATTTTGAAAAACTTTTGACCTGCCATGGACTGTTGCGAGTTCCTTCGTGAGCACACAATGTGGCGGATGATCATCTGATTATGTCGTTGCAGTGTTAAAAGCAGGAGTGGCTTAAACAGAGGGAAGGACTAACATTTTGAATGACAGCCAACAAAAGTCGATATGATTCACTTTTAGCTTGAGTTTTACCATTTAAGTTATAGAGCAGATTCATGCTGAAAGTTAAGAAATAGGCGTTTCCCTTCCCAATATTGTACCAACTTGTAACTCAAAATGAACCGTGAACGAACTCAACATGATCTACTATACTTTATAATAACAAATCACTCATAGCCACCATTAACTAAACCACTAATAAATTGCATACACGTTGGTATTTGTCATGGAATCATAATACATAGCTTTAGTCAATTAAGTAGATTTTAAGTAGTTTATAAGTTATAGCTATAATTTCTATGACTAGGTCTAGTCTAGTACCTAGACTAGTCTAGGTAATTGCTGTAAATGTCAGCTATATTTCTAGGGAATTAATATGTCTGTTTACAATAATAATAATAATAATAATAATAATACAATTGTAAAGTACTATTTCAATATTTTGTAAAATAAATAAATAATAATAATGCGCTTGATCAAGGCTTACGACCCTAACACAAAACATTTTTAAAATGGTATCTTTTTTTAAATCACAGAAGGTGCTTCAAATCAGCGGTTGCCATGGCGACTCCTGGGTACTCTGAGGACCTTCAGCCTCAGCAGGCTAACAATGTAACCATAGCAACACCAGCGGCAGCCACACCCTCCTCCACTAAGAGTGCTCACTTCCTGCCTGACATCCCCCCAGTCTCCAGGACTGTTTCCTCAACCCACCAGTCCGCCCCGGCCTCAAAAGGCACTCAAGTCCTAACCCCCTCTCAGAGTCAGACACAGAAGTCGGTGGTCCTGGCCAATCCCACCCAGCACTATGTGGCCAGTGAGGTTCTGCGGTCTGCAACTCAAAAGAGCAACGGTGAGAGCAGCTCGCCACAGTACATCGTAGTTACAGTTACAGGTGAGTTGCACTAAGGTCACAGTCACATAAAGTTACATAAGAATTACATTGACATGAAGTGACATGTCCCACCTCTGGATCTTGTTTGGTTAGGTGTGTGTGAAATACTGTAATTGTTTCATTCTAGTGTGAGGGGAATGACTCCAAATAATACAGCTTTTTTGTTATTTAAACACACCTGTAAGTAGGTTTAGATGTTATTGGTGTGATTTACAGAGGGGATTTTGACAAACTTTTTATCATTTGATTTTATCTTTTTGTTTTATTTCATTGGTTGTAACATTGGTTTTTAGCTGCTTTTCAAAGCTTGCTTGCTTTTTTCCCTCAATGTTATACCTTTGTGTGGGTAGTGGATTGCATATCAGATGGACAGAATGACTTGGTTGCTAGGAGGCACAGTCTGAAATGCAGTTGCATGGATGATTGATAGATGCCTTCTCTTCATTTTTTTCCATTCTCTATTACAGTAAAATTTCACCGTGTAAATGATGCCAAAAGGCAAATTCCAAACAAAAAATTATCCCTACATTATGAGCTGCCTCTATTCATAATTTTCTGCGGGTGAAGTGAAAGTGAAATTAAATTGTGTGGCCTTTAAAAATGTTAATCTCCATCAACTATTGAAAAGGAGAGTAAACCATGTGTCTTAGTTTATTTTAGTGCTTTCTATTTGTAGATCATTTTGTTGCCGCACTATATCAAATGTCACTGTGCATACCCCTGCGTCACAGCTGAGGGGGGTATATGGCCCCGAAAGCAGATTTACCAAACAGCTTTGATTAAAATCTTCATACGGTGTTTAGGACATGGAGCCAAGAAAATGGTGGCATATTTCAGAATCCTCTTGTGTGTGAGAGAGATTTAATTTTGTGTTTTGACATTAACAAACACTGATCCAAATCAAAGCTGTACTTAGTGTTGTACAGTCAGATCATGTATGTAGAAAAGTTTATTTACCACAGAAAATTTCATGATCTTTTAGCATTTTGGCAAATATATAGTTCAGTAACTCAAATATTAAGAGAACACTGAATAATAAATAAGACCAGTATAGTTCATATTTAAACAGTTCATAAAAAATGTTCAAAGTATTTAAATGTCTAGATCAACGTTAATTCTCACAACCATTTAATCTGAAATAGGAGTAGCTTTGTCCTGTGGTGTTGCCATAAGTCAATGTTTTTTTTCACCTGAAGATACAAAAAACCCAGCACTGGCCACAGTCTCTATCCCTTTTGATTGCCCTTTTTTCATCCGATCTGCATGTTTACAAGATGGAGGGATTTCTCTCCATCTGTGGAGATTAGCTGTCCAAGGCTGTTCTTCTCCATGCAACATATAAGGATGGTGGTTTGGGCGCAGTCAGTGCTGTTCCTGTGACTGTCCCACGAGTTGAGCATAAGCCATAGAATATGTTCTGTGGTGGTGGCTGTTACTACGAGTTTGAGGCAGTATGTCGTGAGTACTAGGCTTTGTGTTCACATTTGTTTATGTTTATCTCTTCTCCTCTTCCTCTCTTGTTCTCAGAGGGTTCAGTTCACTCCACTGACAGTCTGTCTGACTCCAGCCCACCTGCTCCGGGAGTCCCCACACAGGTCGTCCAGCCAGCGCAGACAACAGCACAACAGGTAAGACCCCTACAGACACAGCAGCAACTTCTGTTATTTAACCTGCAAAAAAAGAGACCTGGAA